AGTGTGTCTGTTAGTGAGTATGTATCTTACAGTAAGTGTGTCTGTCAGTATGTCAGTATGAATGTATGTCTGTATGTATGTATGTATGTATGTGTGTATGGATGTCAGTATATGCATGCATGTCTGTCAGTATGCAGTATGTCTTTATGAATGTATGTCAGTATGTATGACTGTCAGTATGTCTGTATGTATGCCAGTATTAATGTATGTCTGTGTGTGTATGGATGTCAGTGTCTGTATGTATGTCTGTCTGTATGAATTTATGTATGTCTGTATGTATGTATGCGTGTATGTATGTCGGTGTCTGTATGTATGTCAGTATGTATGTGTCTGTATGTCCTTATGCATGTGTGTCTGTATGTATGTTAGTATGTGTCTGTCTGTCACTATGTATGCCTGTGCGTCTGTATATGTGTGTATGTCTCAGTATGTGTGTGTCAGTATGCATGCCTATTTGCGTGTATGTCTGTTTCAGTATGTGTGTATGTTAGTATGTATCTGTGTGTGTGTGTGTATCTGTGTCCTTTTGTATCAGCATGTGTGTTTCTATCTGTGTGTGTATTCCTGTGGGCGGGATTTGGAGGAAGACCCTGAGGACAGGCTTGGAGGCGGGCACCCAGGGGGGCTCAGACCCTGAGCTGAGTTAGGTGCCCCAAAATTTCTGGTGGCGGCCCTGTACATCCATCAAAGGATCCTAGGTGAGGATCATACCACCCACACCTGATACATAGAACGGTCTGTCTGCTCACTATATTGTAAGTAAGTTTTCCACTGCTATTTCTGCACTTACACAAACTCAACTACTATTTTGTCCTATTTGGTCCATCTCATTATTACTCTACTGTGGATAACTACCTGAGGGATATCCTACCAGTGGGGATCTAAACTACTGTTTGCTGATTAATCTGGAGCTGGTTGGACCTAAGTGTTGTGTGTACTACATTTTAACATATGTATTACTCTATTATGTTTTTCCTGTTCTTCTGCTCTCTTTCATATGTTGTCATGAAGTGAAGCCATAATCTGCAACACCACACGGAGACTTGTGATAAAAAGGAACACTATTCTGGGAATGTATCTATAAACCTGGTAAACAACTTTGTATGTTCTCAAATACATTATGTGTTCTATTAGTATTTTTCAAGTGTGTTTTATTCTTTTTAATTATATTATCTGTTGTGGTTTTATATATTTTACTTTTGACATATCCTATATCATTGTGGTGACTGCTTCCCTAGGTTTCATTGCTGTACTCGTACCAGACAATCATGTGAACTCATTAAGTATTATTCCTCAAAGAGTTTCCTGTAGATTAAAAGGTATTCTAGACATAGGCATATTTAAAACATATATATATATATAATTTAATATAAAAGCTGCATGACAGTGAAGCATGTGTTCGGGTGATATCACTGCCATCAAAGAGAGGAGGAGGCATTGTTATTTTTGTTGACAAGTCCTTAAAATGTACTCCTGTAAAATACTATAACTCTCATTCTGCCTTTGATTTCCTTTCTGGCACAACTGAGTTCCCTTTCAGTAAAACTATCATTGTTGCTGGAATCTAGCGCCCACCTAGCTCTCCGGTGCACTCCCTTTCTGACATAGCCCAACTACTAATTGAAACTGTAACTCAAAACCAAAAAAGTAAACTGTTGGTTTTTGGAGATTTTAATATTGATTGGCTGAATCATAAAAATAATAAATCATGTACGCTGTTTAATAAGACTTTGCAGCTAACACAATTAATTTCCTCCCCAACTCGCATTAATATTAAAAGCCATAACCATACCTTGCTAGATTGGATTCTCTCCAGTTGTCCTGACAGAATCCAGAAGGCGGGCATTCTCTCTAACAGTTTCAGTGACCACTGTCTAGTGTACTGCATACGCAAAATAAAGGCCTCTAAATCCCCTCCCAAGATTATAATCTGCATACGCAAAATAAAGGCCTCTAAATCCCCTCCCAAGATTATAATCACCAGGTCTTTCAAAAAATGTAATCATGAATCCTTTTTAAATTATCTCAAGAACATACCATAGCACAGATGGGGAAGGGGGAAACCTAAAGAAATATATTGAATAAAACTATAAGAAGAAAATAAATGGATAGTAGCTGGAGTAACCCTTCAATATGTTCCAGTTATCCCGTGTACTTAGTCCAGCTCCCTCCTGACTATATTCCAGGGATGACTACCAGTGTCCAACTTTCTCTTAACAACATTCCATTTTCAGCATTAACTCTGATGTGTTCCAAAATATGCAAAACGGAAAGCAATTTAGCGCTTGTAAAATACTGTTAAAGTTTGTGAAGGCAGCTCTATAACCAATCCAGGTCTCTCTTATCCTGTAGAAGTAGAAATGAGAGTGTAGTACCTAAGATGTACTCAATAATAAACGTGGAAGAAGAAGAGACAGCTAATAGTTTATTAAGTAAACTGTAATAAAAGAAAGGATAAAAGTAGTTCACTCACACTTTGCAGGAGCTTAGGTTCAGCTCCAACTTAAAGGTTTGGGTGGAAGATATGATATGATGCCATTGGAAGGTGGGCTGTATACAGAATATAACAGGCAGTCTAAATGTATAAGGAGTCAGGTGTACACTATTGTTGTTTTATTTTCTCTTTTATATAGGGAGATATATTCAAGACACCTATATCATAAAGCGGGGGTCATACCACTTCACGCTATACCTGTGGAGCCACTGTTCAGGCTCCAAAAAATGTAAGTGCACCTTTTATTTATTTTTTATTAAGGTTTTTTAACATTTAAAACATGCATAACATGAAAAAACATAACTAACATTACCATACTATGGGTTTCTAGCATTAATTATATTTCAGAATATTTAGGTCTGCTTCCTGCATACATTTATGGAGAAGAGCTAAAAAAAAGAGAACAATCTATTATTCCACATATAAACGTGTATACATACACACATACATACAAATTATCTCCCCCTTCTTTCTCCCCCCACAGTCACATGCTTATCTCTCTTTGGTAATTCAATCTAATCTTATTTATTAATAAACACTAACCACTTTTTTAATCCCTTTGCAGAGACACTACTCAAATTTAGAATTATCCCTTCTTCCCTCTTTAGTTGGTATGTTACTTGGTTTTTAATATTGGGCCATATGGTGTGTTTCTTGATTTCCCCATTTTCTTGCTAAAGAGATTTTTTGCTGCGATCAAGATATGTACAGATAGATATTTAGTTATTTTATTCATTTTAGGCCATGTAAGATGTAAAATATATGATTCCAAAATTGAAGTTTATCTGGAGGAGATGTAAATTCCCTAGATGTTTTCTAGTCATTTCCCACAAGATTTTTTAATTTACCCCAACCCCCCATGTGTGAGGGAAAGATCCTTCGGAGTGGTGGCATCTCCAACATATATTAGTAGTTGATGGATACATTTTGTTGGTATTCTTGCTTGAGAAAATGAAAGGTTTTAATCTGTCATTCATTAAACGTAATGTCAATTTTAGTTATTCCTTTTTCTATCCATTCTATGAAGCTAATATCCTGTATTTTGTATTACAAAACTTTAATCGGAGTTGACATTACTTTTATAATTTTTAACTTATTTTTATTGAGAAATTTTCTCCAACATTTTATAAGGTTATTGACAATTATATTTAGTTTTTTTTTATTATACCTGTACATCCATAATATACAGTCTAAATCAGCATTTTTAGTTTTTGAAGCATCTATCTTATACCAAGCTTCAGAGAAAAACTCTTGGTGGCTCCATTTCTTTAAATGAAGAATCATAGATGTGTCATGGTATCTTTTAATAAGAGGGAGATTAATACCTAATTTTGCTGTACATCTCGACAAAGTAGAAACCGCTATCCTAGGTTTTTGTTTTTGTTTTTGTTTTTTAAATCTTTATTTTGGTTGTGCATTTATGAAAATTACAAACAAGCTTTCTATAAGTCACAGCATTATGGACAAGCTTCAGTACAATATGTTTAAAACCTGAAGTGACATTTGAGGAACATGCACATTCTTTATATTTATGTTTAAACAAGCTTTAACCATTTAGTTGCAACTGAAATGTCCCGCTAGGCATAAAATAATGATGAGTAACACAAAATTTTAATGTTGAGCTCCTTTAAATAATAAGTATAATACGATAGTTTAAACTATGCGGTTAGATACAGTAGGCTTGTTTCAAATTGCTATGGGCATCAGGAGGGAGATTATCTAGTAAGACAAGTTTTTATCTATAGCCCAGGACGTCTTTAAACTGCAGTATGGCAATAAAAAAAAAAAATATAATGTTAGGTACACGTGTCTGCCCAATTAGGACATGCTTGGAAGAAAACATGCTGAATATATGCACAAGTTAGCTTAACATTTTTAGGTAATAGGCAGGTTAATGTATATAAAGGCACAGTGGTTAGATTAACTTGGCAGGGGACTAATTAAGGTATCATTATACTGTGCAGTGCTAGCCTGTAATTCAGGTGCATGTCTGCTGAACATATGATGTTTATTTAAACTTTATGTTACACTCAGCTGCGCAATACATCGGCATGCAATGGCTAGACAGTGGTCTAATCATTAAGTGATGGCAGAGCAAATAGGCACTGGAGCAAAAAAAAAAACATTACTATGGGTATGAATTATGTAGCGGTCTTGTGCTTTAACACTGCGTTTGGGCTTGCAGGAGCATAGTCCACCTCTGAGTATCAGCCAACGCCTGCTCTGGAAGGCTGGCTGGTGGGCCAAGTATAGTTGCTAAGCCTGCTCAGTGAGGTAAGTCCCGTTAAGAGGATACCTTGATGGTAAGTCAGGTGGAGGGATGTGTCCCGCCCTCCGGTGTGCTTTGCCGTCTGGTAGGAGATTCTCCTGCCTGGTTTACAGGTTCTTCTCACGCTGGTCCGCTGTTGACCTTTCCGTCGGCCTCCCGCTGCTTTGGGGGCCCTTGTGTGGTTCCCCCGTCCTCGAGCACTCCTGGTGCCGTGAGCAGAGTCGCGGGCTCTTGTGGTCACAGGGTAGCCACTGTTTGTCTTCTTACGCGGTTGTGCGCTGAGTCTTGGGATTGTCTCCCTCGAGAACCCCTTACTGCGATGAGGGAGCGGGTCTTGAACTTTGTAAGGGTCAGGCGCGTGGGTGGAGGACTGGCTGTCCCTCCATCTCTCTTTCGAGGCGGGGTGATAGGCATGCTGTGCTCTGCCTCAAGGGGTGAGGTTTGTGGCAAGCTCTCTTTTTGTTGCCTCTCCTCTAGTTTGCTCCAGAAGGCCGCAAAGATGGTGTCCAGACGGATTAGCGTGGTGTCTATCAGGCCTCGTGGCAGGGTGTGTCGCTTGGCGTTTGCCATCTTGGCTGCTGTGTAGGGACGAGTTTCTTTTAGCGGGTTCGTTAGCCTGGTCATCCGCTCACCGTTAACAGGTAAGTAGAGCCTGTATGCTAGGGCCAGCAGATTTTGGAGCCTCTCCGGCGCTCACTTGGTTCAGCAGATGGGCTGGCAGGGAGATCGACTGCGTCTCCCACACCCGCACCAATAAGCAGGCCGTAGTAGCGTTAATAAGTCCAAGAAGCATCTGGGTGCAACCGGGCTGGGTGCTGGTTGTCTCCTGATTCTGGATTGTCGATTTTGTCATGAAAAATTCAGACATATCTTTATGAAAGGTTTGTGTCACGGAGCTCACTGTGTGTGCGACCAGTCAGGTCGGCTGCTAGGCCCCGCCCCACCCGCTATCCTAGGTTTTTTTGAAAACCATATATAATTGTTAAAAAGCTTTTAAATTTCTTTCGGCCACTTTTGGGTAAATGTTAAAGGTACCATCCTGAATAGATATGTCCATTTTGGGAGTATATAGGATCAAATTATATTCAATCTTCCCCACCATGATAAATCTCTATATGTCCATTTATTAAGATTTTCTCTAGTTTGAAATAATAAGTGTCTAACATAACATTCTAATACATTTTTAGGATATGCCATTATTTTAATTCCTAAGTAATCTATTGGACCTAAAGACCAGTTGAAGCCATATTTCGTTTTTAAGTCCTTTTTTAAATTAAAAATATTATTGATATTTAACCCCTTAAGGACCAAACTTCTGGAATAAAAGGGAATCATGACATGTCACACATGTCATGTGTCCTTAAGGGGTTAAAGGCATAGCTACTGTTTTTGTCATGTTTAATTTATAATTAGAAAGACTACTAAATAATTGTATTTCTTCCAGCAGAACATCCAAAGATTTTTCTACTTTAGTTATAATTATCACTACATCATCCACATAAGAGAAACGATTAAACAATCTATAATCTATAGGAGTACCGGTTATATCTGAATTATCTCTTATTCGCTGTAAAAAAGGTTCTAAAGTTAAAATGTATAAAAAAGGAGATAAAGGGCAACCTTGATATGTCCCATTTCCTATTTTAAACAAAGAGGACTTTATACCTAAGCCCTCCCGCACAATTTAAAATCTTCCCTAAGTCATTTAAGAGATCCCTCTCTACATACCTCAAAACAGAATGCACATGTCATGGTTGATTATATATTTCCTGCCTGTTCTATGTTAAATTGTGTATATATTGTGTATTAATATTGTTTTTGTATTTTGTTGTACCTAATGTAACAATGCAATGATTTGTGGACCCAGGACATACTTGAAAACGAGCGAAATCTCAATGTATCTTTCCTGGTAAAATATTTTAAATAAATAAATTATTCTAGCCACAGGTATTGTATTATTAATACCAGGTATTGTATTTATTAAGCAATCTCCAAATCAATATGAGTTTAGCACTTCAAACATAAATTGCCAATTGACCCTGTCGATTGCCTTTTCGGCATCCAAAAACAGGGCACGATGGGGAATCAAATCTGTTGCAGATAAATCTAGAGAATCTAGTCTTCTTTATTTTTTACAACCTTTATTTTATTTATATTTTCTAAGGTAGGGTTTTCCTTATCATTTTTTAATAAGTTGTACAGTTCTACATACAAAACTGGAAGAGAGGAAGCGGCATTTCTATTCTGGTTTGCTTTCATTTTGATTAAATATTCTCTCATTACAGATTTGTAAGTGCACCATATTGTTGTAGTAGAGATATTGTCTGTTTTATTTTCTTTAAAAAAAACATTTGGTCATCCTATTTACATATTCCTTACTTTCTTCTGATGTTAATAAACTATTATCCATTTCTGATCTAATAAATGTTTGTTGTCTATCCTTAGTTTCCATTAAGACTCCATATGATCTGTCCATGATAGTTCTTTTATATATATCTTTTTGATTTGTTGTATAAGAGATGATCTCCCTAAAAAAAAAAAAAAAAAATCCATTCGGGAATATGAATATTGTACCCGTGAGAAATGTGTAAAGTCATGCAGGTGTATAGTTCTCCATAGATCACATAAATTATATTCTCCCAAAAGTGACTGAACATTTCTAGTTTGATTTTTAAATTCAGTAGACAATATCTTTTCCCAAAAATATTTCTTATCTTTTTTTCATCCAATATCGTATTAAGATCTCCAGCTATTATCAGCAAACCTTGTGTACGATTTTCCAATTTAATACATATCTTTCTGAGGACACCAACTGGACCTTTATTAGGTGCATATACATTTAATAATATATATAAGACCTCATTTATGTTGCAGATCAGTATAATATATCTGGCGTCATAATCGATGTCTTGGTAAATATTTTCAACATTTATATGATCAGATATTAATATTGCCACTCCTTTTTTCTTCTATTTAACTAAGAAAGAATCTATAATATTGGAATATCCATTCAATTACGTATTTTTTATAATTTCTTTAGTTCAGTGGGTTTCCTGCAGGAATGCCACATCCACATGTTCCTTTTTCAAAAAATCGACAAATACTATTATTTTATAAACTGTGTTAAGGCCCCGGACATTTAACATCAACCATTTAACCATATCTTAATTAACTGTTTCTTTTGAATTAAATCTTTAATACATGGGCTGTGCGAGGAGATCATATACCAACAAGACAAAACAAGACAATACGTAAAATTTCAATATTTGAGCATGGCTCCCTTCTGCCATATCAGAATCTGTGCCTTGTTTATAGCACTGGATACATCTCAGCTTATCATCTAGCTGGTGCTCAACACCAGGGGACGTGCGGTTACCCTGCGCCAGGTCCTGAAAGTCCATACCCATGCTGAGACTCATCATCAGGAACACAGGGGTCCCAGTTTTCAGACCACCACCCGTGACACTAACTTCCTTAAACATCAACTAACCGTATAGATACCTTGATATACATTATAACATAAGAACATGTACATATATACAAATATTTTCATACACACATCAACATATTAAGATCTTATATAAGAATTAATGCTTCTTGAAATTCACAAAAAAAAAAAACAATATTTTCTTATTGGTGGGAAATCATATTCTGTGTGTAATAGTGTCTTCTCATACATTTACTAATCCTTTTTTTTACTTTTTTTTCCTCATTCTATCTATCCCACAACACAGTGAGATAATGACTTTTATATAAACATATTCTTTAAACTACCCTTGTGATTATTCTATCAACAAACATTGTAATCACACGCTTTATTTTCTTTATTTTCCTCCCATTCCACCTAATATATTGTTGCATTAATTTGTTGTTTTCTGAGTTATAATGATCTTTAATTATTCAAATCATATCATGCTTTTACCTTTGCCTGATTCAGTGTCATTACTGTAAATCAATCTAATATACCATTAATACTTATTATTATTATTATTAATACTGATTTACCCTTACTCTCTTTTGTTCAAACTTCAACTTATTTTTCATCCTTCCCCATAAGTGTTAATATCTTTCTTATAGAGTGGCTAACTCGTGTTGCCTTAGTGTCATAGTGGATAAAAAAAAAAAAAATATGTATCATCTCTTTTCCTCTCTCATTACCTACACTAGTAATTCAATTTATCTGAAGTTAACACCTCTATTTATCTATACCCAGTGAGAAATTCATAACTCTGTTTTTTTAGTTCTCCTCCTAATTTCTACTTGATTACCAAGAAGGCAATATTTCATATCACCTATAGCAACATATATAACAGTTATAGATTACGTAACTATGATAGCAGTATACTTTTAGCTCGTTGTATGTATGATTATATCTCCTAAATTGCATCATGTCCTATTAGGTACTGTATGTCAAAGTAACTTCATTTCTTTTTAAATCTCATGTCATATATAATTTATTTTCCTCTCTCAGTTCCTGCCCTAGTAATTCAATTTATCTGACGTTTACACCTCTATTTATCTAAAACCAGTGAGAGATTCATAACTCTAGTTTTTTATTTCTCCTTCTAATTTCTACTTCTTTACCAAGAAAACAATATCACATATCACCGATAGCAACAGAGAGCAAAGCCTATGTAGAGATATTACCAGGCGGATGTGAATGTATACCATTAAATCGTCATATGTATGTTTGTATATCTCCTAGATTGCATCATGTCCCATTAGATATTGTATGCTAAATATCTTCATTTCTTTTTAATCTCGCGGAGAGGGGGGAAAAGGAGGAGAGGAACAAAAATCCATCCTTATCTCTTCTTCTTTAATTTATATTCTTTTCTTGCATCCAGATTTTCAACTTCTGTGGATTTTCAAAGGTAAGTTTTGATTTCCATAGGTTAAGTTTATACGTGTAGGGAAGCCCCAGGCATATCTTATCTCATGTTTCCTCAAGATAACAGTGTTGGGAGGGAAAGGTTTTCTCTTCATTCTAGTATGTAATGAAAGATCTTGAAAGATTCTTAGTTGCTGGTATGAAGAATCCTTTAAATCCTTATTTGCAATGGCGTGGCTGATTTGCATCTTAAAATGAAAATAATGAAAACATATAATCACATCTCTTGGGAGATGGTCTGGAACATTTCTCGGTTTCATTGTTCTGTGACATCTTTCAATATAGTTGGCATCTTTATTTGGGATAGTTCCCAAACATGTTCAAAGCTCCTCAAAATAATCTTCTAACTTATTATTGACAATGCTTTCCGGAATGCTTCTAATTCTTAAATTGTCCCTCCGCGCTCTGTCTTCTAGCTCTGCCATCTTAGAATTCAGAATGTCCATATTTTCTTCTAGAGTCTTTACTTTATCAGTATTATTCTGTATGTGAAACACAGACTCTTCTGTTTTTTCTTCTATTGTTTTGAGTCTGTCACCAATTTTAAGTAAATCATGTTTAATTTCTGTAGAATACATATTTATTTCAGCTTTGATTTTAATCAGTTGAGTTTCAAAACATTTTGCTAGGTATTCTGCAGTAATACTTGTCGTTTCGGTCCAGGAATTGTCTGTTGAAGTTTTATCCGCCTCATTATCCTTAGGATCACTTAGTGGTAAGGATTCTTCATGTA